GCAATGATTGTAACTACTCTTAAATGATTTTTTAAAAACTATTATCCATAGACGTGGTAACAGTAGTACCTCTTTATGGCTGTGCAGACAGAATACTGACCCACATTTTTGTTGGTCTTATTCCCTAGGAGAAATGAAATGCATTGATCACTGGCAATCAAATTGTAATAGTTGTGAAATGCTGTGATTGAAGACATTCTGTACAGATACTACTAGCAGAAAATAGTAGTAAAGATGCTATTCATTTACATTTATTTATTATTTACTTGAAAGACAGAGAAATCTCTCATTCCTGGGTCAGTGCCGGGAGTCAGGCTGAAGCCAAGAGCCTAGAACTCAGTCCGGGTCTCCCATGTGTGTGGCACAGTCCCAAGTACTTGAGCCATCGCCTGCTGCCTCCCAGGGTGCACATTAGCAGGAAGTAGAATTGAGAGGAGAGCCAGAACTTGCACCCGAGCACTCTGATATAGGATGCAGGTATCCCAAGTGATGTCTTAAGTGCTGTGCAAACACCAGCCCTAAGATGCTCATAATTTTAGAATGAGCCTTAAAACCATAACTTACATATAAACTGTCTTTTTAAAAAAGAGTTATTTATTTAAACGGCAGAGAGAGAGTTCATCCATCCTCTGGTTCACTCTGCAAATGGCCACAACAGCCAGGGCTGGGCTAGGCTGGAACCAGGAATCAGGAACTCCATCTGGGTCTCCCCACTTGGGTGGCACAAACTCAGGTACTTGAGCCATCATCCACTACCTTCCCAAGCACGTTAGCAGGGAGCTGGCTCAGAAGATGAGTAGTCACGATTCAAACTGGCACTTCAACATGGGATGCTGGTGTGCCACAAGACCCACCCCTTATATATAAACCACCTTAATCAACACAGCCTAATAGAATAGTGCATGCAGTAAGCCCTTAGGAAACATTAGTTGATTTTTTTAAGGTTTTTTTTATTTATTTGAGAGGTAGAGTTACAGACAGAAGGAACAGCAGAGAGAAAGGTCTTCCATCTGCTGGTTTGCTCCCCAAATGGCTGCAATGGGAGCTGGCTGATCCCAGGCCAGGACTCAGGAGCTTCTTCCAGGTCTCCCACATGGAACAAAGGCCCAAGTACTTGGGACATCTTCTACTGCTTTCCCAAGCCATAGCAGAGAGCTGGATTGGAAGCGGAGCAGACGGGATATGAATCAGCATCCATATGGGATGCCAGCGCCACAGGCAGCAGTTTAGTCTACTATGCCATAGTGCCGGCCCCAACATGAGTTAAGAGTGACATTCCCTTTTTATTTTTTAATTATTTTAAGATTTTATTTATCTGTTTGAAATGCAGAGTTAGAGAGAAGGAGAGACCAACAGCGAAATGCTCCATCTGCTGGTTCACTTCCCAAATGGCCACGTCTAGGCCAGGCCGGAGCCAGGAGCTTCTTCCTGGTCCACCGTGTGAGTGACAGGGACCAAAGTACTTGATCCACCTTCTTTTGCTCTTCCCAGGCCATTGACAGGGAACTGGATGGACCGTGGAGCAGCCAGGACTTGACTGCCACCCATATGGGATGCTGGTGCTGCAGGCAGCAGCACAACCCCCGCGCTATAACACCAGCCCCAAGAGTAACATTAAACGCATTTAGAGCAAGTGACAGTAACACATTTTTAGAACTAACAAAACTTTTTCTTCATTTTCTTTTTGAAAGTATCTGGTGGAGCCATTGTTGTGGCACAGCAGGTTATGCCACCACCTACGATACCACCATCCTAACTGGGCATGAGTTCAACTCCCAGTTCTGGTCCAGGTCTCTGCTAAGGTGCCTGGGAAAGCACTGGAAGATAACCCGAGTCCTTAGGCCCCTGCCCCACCCATCTGAGAGACCTGGTTGGAGTTTCTGGCTCCTGGCTCTGGCTTGGTCCAGCAGCCATTTGGGAAGTGAACCTGTGGATGAAGATTCCCCTCTCTCTCTTCTCTCTGTGTCACTAGGCTTTTCAAATAAATAAATCTTTAAAAAAAAACCTTTCTGGTACGTTCTGAATTTTCTGAATTCTCCATTTTCTTCACTGTCATGGTGTTTGTTGTTATTAGTGTATGTTTGTTGGCAGGTTATGTTAACAGCAATTATTGGAAAGGAAAATAGTTTCAAAGTTTCCTACACTAGTAGCTCTGTCTTCTCAGACAGAAAAGGAGATTATAATTTTAATCTCATAAAGTAATTACGGTGATTAAATGAGCTAATCCATGTCAAGGATTGACCCCACACATAGTAATTGCTCAATATGGTGTTTGAGCTATGTTACCATTTTTTAATATTCTCAATCTTATTTTTTTTCATTTCAAGAATAGAACCTAGATTATCACACCATTTCTTTGGGCAAAAGCCTTTGACCTGCAGAAATAAGCTGAACTGTCTTTTCGCAGGGAAGTGTCTGTTCATGTCAGGGCTGAGTGAGGTCCAGCTGAACCACATGGACGATCACACTTTACCTGGGAAGTATGGCATTGGATTTACCAATATGGTGGAGAGGACGACGCCAGGCAGCAAGGATCTTTCCAGGTAATGACGTAGCACTGGGGAGTCGGAACCTTGAACCTGCTGGCACTCACAGGCCCTGAGAACATCATCCACATGCCCTTCAAGCTGAGCTCAATGACTATATGATGTGATCTTTTATTGAAAACAGCCTGAATTTAGCGTATTAGAAATGTTGTCACGTTTGGTTTTGACTACTTTTTAATTCAATTTTAGTAAAGAATTTCGTGAAGGAGGACGTATTCTAGTCCAGAAATTACAGAAATATCAGCCACGAATAGCAGTGTTTAATGGAAAATGTAAGATTTACTTTTAAATTTTATCTTTTCTTCTTTGCTAATGTTATAGACGCTGTAAATATGTTTGTATTTCATTTTAGGTATTTATGAAATTTTTAGTAGAGAAGTTTTTGGAGTAAAGGTTAAGAACTTGGAATTTGGGCTTCAACCCCACAAGATTCCAGACACAGAAACTGTAAGTCCTTAAAATGGCAGCTGGAGGTGAAATGTTGTCTCTCTTCCTTGGTACTCCCTATCCATTGTAGTTTATGCCACAAAAAAAAGCACACTGTATTTTGTTGAATAATATCTATACATATATCAACTTGAACTAATAGTTACAAAGTAATTCAGAAACTGTTAGGATCTTATTAGAGACATATTTATCAACTAAATGTCTTAATGATGTTATCCACCTAAACTATTAAGAGGAACTGGCTCATGTACTGCATTTAAAATATATTTAGGGGCCGGTGCTGTGGCGCAGCAGGTTAACACCCTGGCCTGAAGTGCCGGCATCCCATATGGGTGCCAGTTCTAGTCCCAGCTGCTCCTCTTCCAATCCAGCTCTCTACTGTGGCCTGGGATAGCAGTGTAGGATGGCCCAAGTCCTTGGGCCCCTGCACCCACGTGGGAGACCCGGAAGAAGCTCCTGGCTCCTGGCTTGGGATCGGCGCAGCTCTGGCCGTTGTGGCCAACTGGGGAGTGAACCAACGGATGGAAGACCTCTCTCTCTGCTTCTCCTCTCTCTGTGTAACTCTGACTTTCAAATAAATAAATAAATCTTTATAAAAAAATCAGGAATAAAATATATTTAATGGTGTATGCTTATCAAATGCAATTGAGTTAGCCCTTGGACCCAGTTATGAAAGAAACATGACTCTGATGAGAAAAACCACAGGTCCTGTTTGTATATTCATTTTAGAGCCATATAAATACAGCCCAGACAAACATTCAGAAATAGCAATATTTCCAAACTCTAATTTCTTTTTTTTTAAGATTTATTTATTTGAAAGGCAGTTACAGAGAGAGAGAAGTCTTCCATCTGCTGGTTTACTCCCCAAATGACCACAGAGGCCAGGACTGGGCTAGGCCAAAGTCAGAAGCCAGGAGCTTCTTCCAGGTTTCCCACATGGGTGCAGGGACCCATGCACTTGGGCCATCTTCCACTGCTTTCCCAGGCCACAGCAGGGAGCTGGATCAGAAGCAGAGCAGCTGGAACTCAAATTGGTCCCCATATGGGATGCCAGGACTGCAGGCTCTGTGGCTTTACCTGCTACACCACAGTGCCAGCCCCTGCATTTATCTTTTAAAACTTAGTCTTTATCATGAAATGTTAAAGTTGCTGATTTATTAGTGATTTAACTGTGAAACAACAAAAAGACCTATCTTTTTTTAAGCTTCTGAATCATTTTAATAGAAGAATATCTTTAGATTGGAAAATATGTTATTACAAAATCCAGTAATATTCATACTACATAGCTTTATGAATCACCATTTTCTACACATACATAAGCAAAGCAAGTAATGTGTTCTTCCTGTAAAACATGATATGGAGGCCAATTTAAAAATTATGTGAACATGCATATCCTATCAGCCTCTCACAGGCGCTTTTTAAAGACAGTTTGTTACCATCAGCCAAGCTGATAAATGCAGCTGTCTTTCTTTGTAGCCATTGCACTTCCAGGAATTTATTGGATATACTCAAACATTCAAATATGTACAAAGGTTTTGTTTTGTTTTGTTTTGTTTTCCTACAGCTTATAATAGCAAAAAATTAGAAACAGCCTAAATGTCCCCAGTTGGGCTCTGGTTGAATAGATTATAAAGTACTACACAATTATAAAAAAAAAAAGGAAGTTCTTTTTTTACTCTGATTGTAATTATTGAGTGCAGGACAGGAAGTAGAGCATGTTAACATTCGTATATTTTTTTAAAAGGGGCGCGTATATCCAGATACCTTGGATTGTATGTTTATGGCATCTCCGGAACTGGCAGCATTGTTTGCCCTTGGGTGAGGGAACTGGGTAAAGACAGAGCCGGCAGGGAAGACTTCATTATACACTCGCATGCCCTTCTGTCTCTTGAATTATGAACCATGAATCATGCATTTCTATTGAAAAGACTTTACTGACAGATGGATGTTTGGGGAAGAAGGCTGTTTATGTTTTATTTATTGACTTTGAAATAAATACTACAGATCTGAACTTAAGCACAACTACTTTTATTGATGTTGCATACAATATAAGTATGTGGTTAGGTATTAAGTTAGTAACTCTAAGATAAATTGTATAATGTCAGTATGAGTTGATTCAGTAGAATTGTAACATTTCTGAAACTAAAACCTTGATTCCAGCTCTGCTATGTGATGCCATCATCCAGTGCAAGGTGTGCTCAGTTTCCTCGCGCTCAGGACAAAGTTCATTACTACATTAAGTTGAAGGACTTAAGAGATCAGTTGAAAGGCATTGAACGAAACACAGACGTTCAAGAAGTGCGGTATACATTTGACCTACAGCTTGCCCAAGGTATGCTACTGTTATTCCTTTCATTCATTTATATACCATACAGAAAATAGGTTGTGGATACAGAAACAGGAAAAGAAAAGAAAAAATTGTATTTGCAGCCAGAGGGCTCTGATAATAGCCATTAGTCACTGCTGCAAGTCTCTTACCAAGGTTCTCCACCTGCATACCCTGAGGATACAGGAAACATCACATTGTGCCTAAAATTAAGTGTAATAAGCTTCTGTAATCCTTATGAGTTCATCTGGTATATGCTACAAAGAGTTTAAAAGAGGACTGCAAAAGATGTATTTCAGCATTCATGAACATTTAAAGAAAGAATTGCTCATGATTTCTCAACAAAGCTGCCTTCAAAATTGTTGTACAAAATCCATTTTAAATTTTTTATCTCTGTCACAGAGGATGCAAAGAAGATGGCTGTTAAGGAAGAAAAATACGATCCTGGTTATGAAGCAGCCTACGGTGGTGCTTACAGTGACAACCCGTGCAATAGTGAACCTTGCAGCTTCCCGTCTAATGGGCTAGGTATGTTCCCTCCCCCATGAGCGTCGCTTCCAGAGACTGGTCCTGTCAGGATTCAGGGACTGGGGGTGAGAGGCAGATTTTACAGAATGAGAGTAAAGTACTGACGAGTGGGAATGGTAATATACGAAATGTTACTTAGTGATGGTGAAAAGTTGGTGGTATTTGATGTTTACATGGACATTACAACTCATTTCCTTTAAGGCATCTTAGTTGCATTTTCCTCCTTTAACTAGTTTAATAATAATTCCCTTTTAAACCTCCTGACTTGATTATTTTAAAACTTCTAAGTAGACTGGGCAGAATTGCCTGACGTTGTTTCCTTTCTCCTAGCTGCGGACAGTGCGGAGTTAAGAGAATCAGCTCTCAATGCCATTCCAGATGGGCAGTGGATGGCCCAGCCGTTTACAGACCAGATTCCTTCCCTGAACAATCACTGTGGAGCGCAAGAGCAGGGTGTCTAAGAATGCTGTTTCTCAGCTCCGCGTGAATGCTGCAGTTTTAATGCAGTTGTCAAGATACAGAACCTCAGTGTGCTAACTTAATATTTTAGTAGTAGTTTACTCTAGCGATGTCATTAGTGTAGAACAGTTGTGTGATAGAACCAACTGTATGAACTAAGTAATTTGGAAGGAAAAGTAGGGTTTTTTTGTATGTGATTTTGTATGTGAATTAACCATCATTCCAGCTTTTTATATATTTCATGTGTGAAGAAATTGATTTTCTTTTGGGAGTCACTTTTGATCTGTAATTTTAAAATACAGCAGTCTGAATATTTATAGTTGATCCTTAACTGTGCATAAACCTAGGCAGACTATTACTCCTTTTATGCCTAAGGAGGGTGTGCTCATGGTAAGAATTAGCACAGCTAAGGAAGCAAGTATGTTGCTTTTCACATATGAAGTTAGCCCTCAGTGGAGTCCCATTTGTTAGTGTTTGGTGGTAGCTGAGGGTCACCCCAGGGCTGCCTAAGTTGCTCTCAGCTCAGACCTCTTCACGTTAGGAGTGGTGTTGAGAGTTACTTAGCAGTAGAAATACGGAGTGTGGCCTTGCTGTGGCAGGGCTGGCCCAGCCTCCTTCCCTGGCCTTGGCCTCCTGGCCCCTGTGTGCTAATCCTCCAGGAGGCAGAAACTCTCCGCTGGGACAGTCGGTTCCAGAGAGTGCAGTAGAACCCTGACGTTGTATCACGTAGCTGTGTTTTACTTGAGAGATAAATCTGATAGGGAAGGAACTGAATTTCTCTGTCAGTATTTATCACCATTGTAATTTTAGCCTTGATTTTAAGGTTGGTGACATGGAAATGGGGTAAGAAATGAATTTTCAGGCTGAGCAAAAGATGGCTGGAGGGGTTTGATAATCTCACTTAAACCGGTGCTTTCTATACATGAGATGTACCAAAATAAATAATGCAGAACCTTTCTTGCCAGGTATATCTAGTAAGCCAATAATTTTAAAAATCCTTTCTCTGCATCATTGCTGATACTTAGTTGCTATGGACTACGTGAATCTCGTGGGAAGGTTGGTTTGAAATCTGTACCTTTGTGATGTTCTGATGCCTTTCCCATGGTGCTACAAATAGTCCAGACCCCTAGGTCTGGTAGATGTTCAAGCTGGGTATTCAGAAATGGCCATTTGCATTGACTCCTACTCACTCCTGAATACTCCAGTTCCGTACATACCCAGGGAGCATGCTCATTTTCAATATGAAATATTTACAAGGTTCCTCTTTCCCCCGAGAGGTGGTATGTCTTGTTCTTCTCTTTGTAATAAGAGAAACAAATTCTTGTGACTCTTAGTATGCTTTTTAGCTGTGGTAATGATGGTTTTATTTTTCCTGAAGTCTAGGTCAAGCTGTGTGGAAGTCATTCGTGTTATTTAATGATGTACTGTACTGCTGTTTACATGGCCGTCTTCTGCGGGTGCTCTGAAGTGCCTTGCATCAGGGATTAGGAGCAATGGAATTATTTTTTCATGGGACTGTGTAAAGCATGTAACTAGGTATGGCTGTAGGAAATAACTATTGTAGCTTTACAATAGATTTTTTTTATTTGACTGGAGAAAATACCTTTTAAATTATGACAGATGCCCACTAGATAATGGGTTTGAAGATTTTCCAAGCCTACAATAATGGTGTTTTACATTGAATATGACTGATACATAATAAATGTCGGTATATCCTGTACATGACAGTATGAGACTTTTTCATTAAATAATATGGAAAGATTTTGAAATTCATCTGACAGTCTGATGGTCTTTACAATAAAAAAAAATTTTTAAGAGTGAAATACCCTTGGCCTTCAAGCTTTTTTCTGGCCAGACTCAATGGTATTCCTTCCCCCTTCAAACCTGCACCAGTTCTCCTTCTAGTATTTAGCACTCAGAATATATACATGATGAAAAATTTTAAAAATCAATGACAATTTTATTTCTTCAGGCCTCCATGTTTTAAATGTAACAGTGCTATAAAAGGCAAGATTGAGAACCTGTTAAAAAATACCTACATGTAAAAAATACATTTAGAAAATGCTGAATTTGTGGCTGTAAGTGCCATTCAGTGGGAAGCACCTTGATTGCCCATAGCCGGCTGGGTTTCTTTCTTTCCAGCAACATGCTTCACTCACAGAATCGTGGCCTCCACGATTATCACTTGGGCTTAAGGAAACACACCCGTGCCCGTCTGGTCCGAGGTCCAATCTGCACAGAGAAGTTTCTGGTTCTCGTGTCGTGGATTGTACGTGTCAAAGGTATTGCTCCTCAAGCAAACGTGTTGCAAGGCTACAAAGGGACAGTTGCAGCTTTTCCCATAGGGAGTATTTAAAACGTTGAGTTCTGTCAGCTGTTGTGATGGAGCTTAAATACCCCTGCAGGATCAGGGACAAACCAGCTTTCCCACAAGTCGTTGTGAACGCTTGGGAAGTCCCAGGGTTTGTGCCTTCCATTCCAGTGCAGCAGTTTAGCTTCCTGCAGGAAGTGCTCTGAATATCTGGCATCCGGATTCCAGCCTTCGTTGTGTGCAGAGGGAAATAGTAGACTTGTTAGAGAATGAAACCTGCCTCGTAACATTGGATATAAATTCATGATTTAAAAGACAATTAAAGGATCAAGCTGTGAAGAATTTCCCACCCTCCCCAAACCTCTAAAACAGCCACTGTGACCTTAGTGATGTCCGTGCACACCTGAACATACAAGCCCATTCCAAACTGCATGGAAAATGGGATTAGAAGATAAGCGGATTGTGGTGCAAAAAGTTTTGAAAGTCACGCAGTTTTTTTCATGATACACATCTGCATGAAAAGGAATGTGATGTCTTATTTTTTTTAACATTTATTTGAAAGCCACAATGGCAGAGAGAGACCAATTGCCCATGTGCTGGTTCACTCCCCACATGGCCGCAACAGCTGGTGTGAGGCCAGGAGACCAGAACTCCACCCAGGTCTCCCACTTGGGTAACAGGGCCCCAGGTACTTGGGCCATCATCTGCTGCCTTCTCAGGTGCCTTCAGCCGGGAGCTGGATCAGACATGTAGCAGTCAGGACTTGAACTGGCGCTCCAGTATGGGATGCCAATAACGCAAGCAGCCGCGTAGCCTGCTGCACCACAGCGCCAGCCCCTCGATATTTTAAAGCAACTCCGAGTCTCCTGAGTAGAGAAGATGATTACTGGAGCATGCTACACTGCTTTATGGGGATAACAACAAAGTCCGGCTTCTATGATTCATAGTACAGCTGGGGACGCCGCTGCAGAAGAGGCGCTAGTTGTTTCCAGCTACGGTGGCAGAACTCGAGTGATTTCAGGTCCAGGAAATCTGCACAAAGGAAGAGCTCAACTGGGTAGAGCCTCTTCATCTCCGCTCTGCGACTGAGACTGTGGACACCTCAAAGGGGCTTGCAATGTGGGGGTGAAACTTGGCTGAATGTGGTCCATCAATTTTAAAAGCCTGAAGCTGGGGCCGGCGCTGTGGCGCAGCGGGTTAATGCCTTAGCTAAAGCACCAGCATCCCATATGGGCGCTGGTTGGAGCCTTGGCTGCCCCACTTCCGATCCAGTTCTCTGCTGTGGCCTAGGAAAGCAGAAGATGGCCCAAGGCCGGCACCGCAGCTCACTAGGCTAATCCTCCGCCTTGCGGCGCCGGCACACCGGGTTCTAGTCCTGGTCAGGGCGCCGGATTCTGTCCCGGTTGCCCCTCTTCCAGGCCAGCTCTCTGCTGTGGCCAGGGAGTGCAGTGGAGGATGGTCCAAGTGCTTGGGCCCTGCACCCCATGGGAGACCAGGAGAAGTACCTGGCACCTGCCATCGGATCAGCGCGGTGCGCCGGCTGCAGCGTGCCGGCTGCGGCGGCCATTGGAGGGTGAACCAACGGCAAAAGGAAGACCTTTCTCTCTGTCTCTCTCTCACTATCCACTCTGCCTGTCAAAAAATTAAAAAATTAAAAAAAAAAAAAAAAAGATGGCCTAAGTCCTTGGGCCCCTGCACCCAAGTGGGAGACCCAGAAGAAGCTCCTGGCTCTTGGCTTCAGATCAGCACATCTCCGGCCATTGTGGCCAATTGGGGAGTGAACCATCAGATGGAGGACCTCTCTCTCTCTGCCTCTCCTCTCTCTGTGTAACTCTGACTTTCAAATAAATACATAAATCTTAAAAAAAAAAGCTTGAAGCTTACCTATTTGGACCCACATGTAATACCTATTAATGTTACATTGCTTTCTGCATTCAAAATACTATAAAACCAGATCATCTTTCAAATTATTTCTGTGTAGATGTACTTTGTAAATCCCTGATTCCAAAACCTTCCAAGGAAAAGTGATGACTTTCTGAATATGCCCCTCCCTACTTGTCAGTAAGATAAGGTAAGGTAAGGTACCTCATAAAGTACAGTTCTCAGTGGCTGGTCCAAGACCATAAAATGCTCGAACTCTAAGCTCCACCAAGCGGTTCCAACACAACACTTAAAGATTCTACTTTAATGGAACTTTCTGGACATGGAGATGTTGCTATTTGATCTGACAGTGAGTCCAACATCATTATAAACCAAAAATGACAATGCTAGTGCCCCCGACTTCCTGTGTCACTCTTGGGTGCATGCATGTGGTTGGGAAAATCAAGGAGAATTTTGGTAATGGTGTGTGAGTGTACACGGGATTGCTAAGACATTCAGCATCCATAGTTATGTCTGTCCTTTGGTTTCAGGAGAAGGGATGTGACACCTTGTACAGTTTTAAGAATTGGAAATAATATCTTTTTCAAGAGAACCTAGTCCAGTTCTTACCCATTACACTAACAAGCACTTGGTAAATAAGTTCATATGCATTGTCAGTAATTCTTAAACAATCCCCACGGTGTGCAAACAGAGTCGTTTTATTGACTCCTTGGCAGTGGAGTGTAAATCACATGCAGTGCCATATTCCCGTTTTTAAAAATGCAAAGTATTGGCCAGCGCCGCAGCTCACTAGGCTAATCCTCCGCCTTGCGGCGCTGGCACACTGGGTTCTAGTCCCGGTCAGGGCGCCGGATTCTGTCCCGGTTGCCCCTCTTCCAGGCCAGCTCTCTGCTGTGGCCCGGGAGTGCAGTGGAGGATGGCCCAAGTGCTTGGGCCCTGCACCCCATGGGAGACCAGGAGAAGTACCTGGCACCTGCCATCGGATCAGTGCGGTGCGCCGGCTGCGGCGGCCATTGGAGGGTGAACCAACGGCAAAAGGAAGACCTTTCTCTCTGTCTCTCTCACTGTCCACTCTGCCTGTCAAAAAATAAAAAAAAAAAAAAAGCAAAGTATTTGCAAATTTCTAAACAGTACTGGCCCAGTGGTTTTGGATAGGGGATCGTGGCAATGTGTTAGAACGAATGTGAGGGGTTAGCTACCACCTTGCAACATCAGCATCTCATATGGGTACCTGTTTGTGTCCTGGCTGCTCCACTTCCTATCCAGCTCCCTGCTAATGGGAAAAGCAGCAGAGGATGAGACAAGTGATTGGGCCCCCGCCACCTACATGACAGACAAGAAGAAGCTCCTGACTCCTGGCTTCGGTCTGGCCCAGCCCTGGCTGTTGTGGCCATCTGGGGAGTGAACCAATAAATGGGAGATTGTTCTATATATATATATGTCTCTCCCTCTCTATAACTCTCTGAAATAAATAAAATCTTTAAAAAAAATAAAACAAAAACTGGGACTGTGGTGTAGTGGGAAAAGCCGTTGCCTACAGCCCTGGCATCCTACATGGTAGCTGGTTCAAGGCCCAAATGTTCTACTTCCAATTCAGCTCCCTGCTGCTTTGCCTGTAGGTCCCTTACACGCATGTGGGAGACCTAGATGAAGCTCCTGGCTTCTGGCTTTGGCCTGGCACAGCCCTAGCCTTTGCAGCCATTTGGAGAATGAACCAGCAGGTGGAAGATCAATCTATCTCTGCCTCTACCTCTCTCTCTCTGTAACTCTGCCTTTCAAATACATAAATCTTTAAGGAAAAAAAAAAATGTGAATGTGTCTCAGTGCCAAGCTGTGTTCTAAACAGTTGACTTGTATTTGAAGTTAAAAGTAATCACATAATGGCCTAGCTGGGACTCCACACGCAAACCCTGGCGGCTGCACTCCTGTAAGGAGTAAGGCTGGTAGAGGACTCACACAGGACACAGTAAGCAGCTGCTTTGGCTTGCAATGCCAGCCATCTCGGTTCATCACGGGCCATTATGCAACTTTGGTTTTGTCCACAGTAGCAATACAGGCATGTGAAAAAGTTGTGACAGTTATATGAGCATATACTATATGCTAAGCTGTCATGTAGTAACTTTTCATGAATTCCTAGAAACCTCCATGGTAGCTAAGGAGAGAAGCTGCCCCTGCAGAATCTGAGCACTGAGGGTTAAGATACTCACCCAGGTCACGTGGAGCAGTTGCACCTGGTGCTGGAACACTCTCCCCTCACTGGGTGGTGCTCCCTGGGTCTACCATAGACATTTGCATAGTTTTGTGGAACACTTACCCAGGTGCCTTATGTGCCACAGGGGGTTGATTGTGGAGTGTTTCCCGTGAAACACAATCAGCATGGGGGATGTGGCCACCCCTCCGCCCAGGGAGCTGCTGTAGAGGTTTTCCCTAAAAAGCCGAATAGAAAGGCGTCATTTGGCCTAGGGCCTCCCCAAGCTCAAAGTAAAATCAAATACTTTCAAGAAATGTCACATTTTCATTTTGCGAAGTGTCAAGCATACACAAAACTGTTAGAATGCCACATCACCCACATTCACGGAGTGTTCATGTTTTAATAGTAGATATAGATCAAGTTCTGATCTTGTATTAGTTAAATATTCACAGTTATGATGGTATTAAAATAAACAGGTAAAGACTGACATGGGGCCAGCTTTGTGGCATAGTGGGTTAAGCTGCCACCTGTGATGCCAGCATCCCAAATGGGTGCTGCTCCACTTTTGATTCAGCTCCCTGCAAATGAGCCTGGGAAAGCAGCAGAAGGTGGCCCAAGTATTTGGGCCTCTGCCACCCATGTGGGAAGACCCAGAAGAAGCTCCTGGCTCCTGACTTTGGGTTGGCCCAGCCCCAGCCACTGCAGCCTTTTGGGAAGTGAACCAATGGATGGAAGATCTTTCTCTCTCCTTCTCTCCCTCCATCTCTCTGTAACTGCCTTTCAAATAAATAAAATAAATTAAAAAAAAAAACACTTGAAATACAATGATATGATAATAGTGGTTGGGTTACAGTTATTTTTCTCTATTTTAAAACTTTGATAATGCAAAATTATCATTTAAAAATCAGCCTTAAAATGTAAAAGTGACTTTATAAAATAATCCTTAGAGACAAATTTTTCTAAGAAGGACAAATGACTAGGATAAATGTAGGTTTTCAATGGAAAATATTCAAGTCACTATAGGAAAATGCACGAGACTCCTCATTTCATGGCATCTTGGTTCCTCTGATGTCATTTGAGGAGAGATTCTTATCTACTGCCCCCATTTTCTTTCTCAACAGTGTTTCTGTAAGAAAGTGTGAAATGTTTCTAACCCCTGAGCTATGCATAAAAAATTAATGGAATCATTTGGTGCCCAAACATGGGAAAAACGGTGGGTCAACACATACTCCACATTTTTCTGCATCCATTTCTCCAGCTGTTTGGTGATACGCTGGTGCTTCCATTCCGTCATGTTGGCTACAATCACGCCGGGATTGAACGAGCAGGTGCTGGGGCTGATGCCAAGGTCCTTTATGGTCTTCTTCCGATAGTCCAGATAGCCCATGTATGTGTTCTAGGAAGAAATGAGACGTGCGTGCTTTGAACTGACAAGTCTTTCTGGAAAATGAACATTTTTGGAAACCACTGTGCTGTGTCTCTGAAGTTTCTTCCTTTCTCACTGGCCACTTCCTAGTCCTCCTTGCTGGTTTTCCCTCGTTTCTCTAAATGCCAAGTGTCCCAGATCTCAATCCCAGCACCTGTTCCTTCCCGAGTGCTAACGGCAGACAGCCTCCTCCCGGCTCTTGGCTCTAAACCCTGTCTGCTGGCAGCCTTGCCCTCTGTCTGGGTTCCAACTCCTGCTGCCTCTGCCAACTCCCTGTCTCCTTTTGGATGCTGACCAGGGCAGCTCCAGCTGACATGTAAAAATCGATCCTAATTCTATCCCAAACCTGCTTTCCTAATACCTGCCCCACCTCAGTGAGTGACAGGTCTGTCCTGGTTCCTTGGACAAAAGGCCGGGGGAGTTAGGTTATCCTCGACTTCTTCTCACTTGCCTCTGATCTAAACCTAGCAAATCCTGTTGCTCACACCTGCAAAATATGTCCGAAGTAACCACCACTTCCCTTGCCTCTCGTGCCTGTTCCATCACTGGCTTTCTGCAAGTTCCTCCTAACCAGTGTCCCTGCTTCCACCCTTAGTAACCCTACTCTGTCTCTGTGTCACTCACTTCCTCCAAGCCCCTTCTATGACTTTCCATCTCATTCACAGTAAAAGCCAGAGTTCCCCAAATGCCTGCCATGCCCTGTGCTGTCCAGCCACCATGACCCCTCCAATTTCTATCATTTACCCCCAGTCTCTCTGCTACAGCTACATGGGACACCTTTCACACACCAGGCATACCTCTGCCTCAGGACCTTTGCACTTCCTGTTGCTTATTCCTAGAACGTCTGCCCCCTCAATATCTGCAAAGGTGGTTCCCTCAACTCTTCCAGATGTGGGCACAAACCACCCCATCTCTGTCTACAGTCCCGCCTCCACTGTGATCCTTTGTTAAATAATTTACTTGTTTACTGTTTATCTTCCCACTGGCATGTAAGCTACACAAAGGCAGGAGCTCTGGTTTTGTTCACTATATTACCAGTACCGAAAACAGTGTCAGGCATTATTAAGCGCAGATAAGTAGTTGAATGAATGTAGGAGGAGGCCGGATGTACACTTTCATGCAAACGGACTGCCATGACCCACTTCAATACGGTGTTCTCAAATATGATTCGGGGTGCTGGGAATACTTGAGTACTTCCCATGTGCCCGGCGCTGCCCTCAGAGAGTCCCGCGCGTAACCTCGGTTCCTGCGTGCCTTCACTAATGTAATCCCCATACTAACCGTGCAAGGGAAGCACTGTTAGCACTTCTGTTTGACAAATGGTGGCAGGAAGAGGGGACGATTGCCTAAGCAATTTGCCTGCGGCCATGAAGATGGTAAGTGATGACAGCACCAAGATTTTCACAGAGTTGGATCCAGCCTTGGAACCCATACCCTGAGATGCCTTAAGTGTCACAAAAATACATTTTGCTAGAAATTCTTTTGAAGGACAGCATTCAACTCCTAACACCTCACATTTCAAAGCTATTCCTTGGGTTTCAGCATTAGACATAAGTTCAGCTTCCCTTATTTCCACTAGGGTAACGGTGTCTATATCTTTGAATAAAGTCAACCCTTTCCCCTACTGAAAGGGGGTGGGGGGAGCAATGGGCAGAAATCTGCAAATAGCGATGTTTGGCAAGTCTCTCTTAGAGAACACATCTCTGACAGAGCGTGGCTAGGAGCAACCTAAATAAGTCTCATTTCTGGAGGATCTGCCCTACGCTACGCATTGGACATCACACTACTTCATCACAGCTCACAAAAACACAGCAAACCACTTCTTACCATTACCGTGGGACTTTGCAGGGTTAGAGTAACTCGCCCCAGAGTTGGTAAGGGATGGAGCTGGGGTAGGAACGAGAAGGCCAAACCGCAGCCCTGTTCTGGCCCCCTGCCCCCAGCAGCCCAGAAGGTGGGGCTTTCCAGGTGTACTCGGCACCCATTTCAAATTGCAGAGGAGCAGGCAGGGCCAAAGCAGCAGGGAGCCGGGTCTCCCAGGCCATGCCCCTACCTGGAGCCCAACCAGTCTGCTTATGTCCTGGGCAGAGGGCAAATCGCAGTCATCCGAGAAAGCTGCCGCGTGTCCCAGGGCCAAGGTGGTGTCGTACAGCTCTTGGATATCACCTGAGTTTAGAAATGTCAGCGGTTAAAATGCTTAGGCTGGACAGAGTCTCAGAACATAAACAGTCCCTGGTGTTTCTACAGCGAAGACCACAAGATCTCGGACTTGGAGTGGTTCGGCGATTTGCTTAATAGCTTGCACCAGTGGGGGAAAAGACACTTGATAAGTCCAAATCTACACTCAGCGGGTTTGGCTTCTGTTGCTGTGCAGGCAGCACGCGCATGCTGCTTGTGTCTGCAGGTGGAAGCCAGAGGAAGCACCATGTAAACCATCAGAACTCAGAGCGTTCCTAAGCACATCGTCACCGTGCAGTGTAGGCACGTGGGGAAGGAAGGACAGAAATGCAACTAGATTGTCTAGGAAAGTACTAACGCCTGTTTGCAAAATATTTCCCACTTTGCAATCGTGCTGTGCCCCAAATTTAGTAAGCAAAATCGCTGGGGAACTAGCTGTAGGCAAAGCGAGCGCGCCTTCTCCAAGGGCTCTCGGCGCTCAGCGAGTGTACCTTGTACGATGACATCATCGTCCAAGTAGATGACTTTCTCGTGCTGCTGGATCAGCAGAGGGAGGTAAAATCGAACGAAGTTCAGCTGTCAAAACAAGAAAAGAAACCAGGCAGGTGGCTCAATGCCTTGTGGAGCCTCGGCCCAGACCACAACCTCAGCTCAGCTCCAGGTTTGGAACAAAGAGCTGCAAAGATGCCTCTCCCGAGCCTCCCAGCGTCCCCGTGTTAGCCCCGGGGTTGAATCCAGCGCTGGCAGATCAGGGATTCCCTGGCCCTGAGCCCTCTATCACAGAGGCTGCTGCTGCTCTCATCCCTGTGCGCTGTTGCGGCCGGGTCACAGGGGCCACCTGGGCGACCTTCGCGGGCACAATTTGCCTGCCTTCCCCCGTGTTCATTAATTTTGATAGCTGTCAACTAAATTGGCCGCAGACACGCAGGCACATGTGTCATTCCTCTGAGAAGTTCCAATGCTCTAGCGCCTTAACCACAAAAAGGTCGGAGACTCTGAGTTGCGGGAAGAGTTGTAAAGTTTTGTTTAGTGACGCCCTGGCTTCATCACCCCAGCCCAGCTCACACTTGGACAAATACCCGGAACCGGGGAAAGCGTGCGTGAGACACAGGGTGCTTCGAATGCAGTACATTTGCAAGGATGGATTGAAGGTGGGCGCAGTTTCTGTACAACTGCCACAGTGCCCCTCTTCTGGTCCCTTCTGTAAGAAGTCTTACAGTGAAATACCTTAAAATTTCCAATCCAAGAACACATTGCATCTCCAGAAACGATGGCCCTGCTCAATATGAGAAGGACATACTGCATCATGCCGTTTGTCCGCAGCTGCTAGGATACTCAGAGCTAGGACTGATGTGCAATCGTGCAATCGCAGTGCATACGCCAGGCTACGCGTCTGGGGTATTGTTTCTGGCCTCAGTACCTGGCCCACTTCCAGCTCCACCCCCACAGACACAATCACACACATAAATGCACCTTATGTGTTTAATGCTGCATTTTTTCTTTAGGAGCTTTATTATGCTTATGTAAATGGTCTTAAATCCTTTCTGGAACAGGCAGTTTATAAATTACAAAGCGCAGAGGGGCAGGCGTTTGCTGTAGCAGTTAAGATAGCAATTCAGATGCCCGCATCCCATCAAAGTGCCTAGGTTCCAGTCCTGGCCCCACTCCCAGGTCCAGCTTCCTGCTAATGCACACTCTAGGAGGTGGCAGGCCACGCCTCAAGTTCTTGGGTCTCTGCCACCCACGTGGGAGACCCAGATGGAGCTCCTGGCTCCTGGTTCTGCCTGACCCAGCACTGGATATCATGGGCATTTGGGGATTGAACAGAAAGTAGACACCTCTGTTTCTCTCTTTCTACTTCGAAAATAATAAAAATAAAATAAGCAGAGTTTGGTGGAGAACTAATATTGTGAGGGTTCAAAACCCTTCCAGTTTCATGCTGGCAGCTACTGTTCCCCGTCGAACAAGGGCCTCCCCCAGGCCCATCCCAGCACCTGCGGGATTCACACTCACAGGCTGCAGCAATTCCGGTCTTGAGGAGTCTGGTCTGATCTTCCCTTTGAGCACCATAGGGTTGAATTCCACGATCTTAAAGTTGATTTCTCTCAGTTTCGAATGTTCGATCCATTTCCTAGAGAGATGACAAAAAGCCCTCTAGTACACACTTCAGGTTCTTGGTTCTCTTCCTTGTGCCTATTGCTTCGGGATCCATCTATCACTTTTTTTTTTTTTAAGGTGTACTTATTTGTTTGAAAAGCAGAGTTACAGAGAGGCAGTGGCAGAAAGAGAGAGAGAGAGAGAGAGAGAGAGAGATCGTCCATCCACTCCCTAAATGGCTGCAACAGCCAGGGCTGGGCCAGGACAAAGCCAGGAATCAGGAGCTTTTTCTGGGTCTTCCGCATGGGCACAGGGTCTCAAGGACTTGGGCCATCTTATACTGCTTTCCCAGGCACATTAGCAAAAAGCTGGATCAGAAGTGGAGCAGCCGGGACTTGAACCGGCACCCATGTGGGATGCCAGCACTGCAGGTGATGGCTTTACCTGCTACAGCACAGCGCCAGCCCCCTCTATTGCCTCTTTAAAAAGGTAAAAATAAAATGTGTTTGGCCTATAACTCCTTCTGATTCTTTCCCCATCTGGTCTGGCTTGAAATTTTTTTCCCCCTCAGTCACATAACTCTTTCTGCAAAGGAAATGAAGCAGAATAGTAAAACCCAAATATCTCCCCAGATCCAGATAGTCTCCGCGGGACACTGGGAGAACAAAAGCATTCCTTCTTCTTCCTAAAGGAGCATCTGCAGCCCTTGGAATGATCTTGGCCACGTGGTGACAGCTCTGGATCACGGGGAAGCAGGCCCCTCTGACCCCGCAACTCACACGAGAGGCATCCGCGCTCCGCTGTTTGCACTCCGCTGCCTTGAATTTGCCTTCTCCAGCCTCTGATCTTCTCCATCTGTCCTCCTTCAAAATGTTGGTCTCTTTCTCCACTTCCTCAGTCTAACAGTACATCTTTTATGCAGTCCATAATGAGTTTGTTGGTAGAAGTAATCTCAAAATGAAATTCCCAGCAATGATAGCTACATATGGTAACATCTGTTTGTTAAAATTTGACAAAAGAGGGGCTGGTATTGTGGTGCAGGGGGTTAAGTCACAGCCTGCAGCACCGGCATCCCACATGAACGACAATTCGAGCCCCAGGTACTCCACTTCTGATTCAGCTCCCTGCTAATGCACCATGGAAAGCAGCAGAAGATGGCCCAAGTACTTGGGCCCCTGCATCCACATGGGAGACCTGGATGGAGTGCCAGGCTTGTGGCTTCAGCCTGGCCCAGCCCCAGATGTTGTGGCCAGTTAGACAGTGAACCAATGGTTGGAAGATAATCTGTATGTATGTGTGTGTGTGCAACTCTGCCTACTAAATAAATAAATCTTTAATCTTATTTAATTTTTTTAACAAAAGGGGTAGGCATTGTGGCATACAGGATTAAGCTGCAGGTTAGGGTACCTGTATCCCATATCAGAATGCCTGGTTCAAGTCTGGGCTACTCCACACTTTTTTTTTTTTTTTTTTTTGAAAGTCAGAGAGAATTAGAGAAAGAGAGAAAGAGAGGTCATCCAAATGCTGGTTCACTCCATAAATGGCCTCAATGGCTGGAGCTGGGCCAGGCTGAAGTCAGGAGTTATCCAGGTCTCCCACATCAGTACAGGGGCCCAAGCACTTGGGCCATCTTCCACTGCGTTCCCAGGCCCTTAGCAAGGAGCTGTGTAGGAAGTAGAGCAACCAGGACAAAACCAGGGCCCATTTGGGATGCCAGCATTGCCAGCAGCAGCTTTACCCACTACACCACACACCGGCCCCTACTGCACACTTCCGATCCAGCTCTCTGTGGATGCACCCGACAGGTAGTGGATGATGGCCCACGTGTCTGAGTTCCTTCCACCTATGTGATAGACCCACATGGAGTTCCTGACTTCTGGCTTCGGCTTGGCCTGGCCCTGATTATTGAGGGATTTTGAGGAATGAACTCTCTCTCTGTCACTCTGCCTTTCAAATAAATAAATAAATCTTTTTAAAAATATAAAATCTACAAAAGAATTAAATCTGAACAAAATTCAGATCTACAAAATTTGAGCCATAAAAATTTATGGTGTAGGGGCCAGTGTGTTATAGCATTGTTGCACAGTGTATAAAGCCACCACCTGTGATGCCGGCGTCTCATATTGGTGCCAGTTCATGTCCTAGCTGTCCACTTCCAATCTAACTCCCTGTTAATGCACCTCAAAAAGCAGCAGAAGATGGCGTAAGTGCTTGTGCCTCTGCCACCCACATGGGACACCTGGATGAAGCTCCTGGCTTCAGACTGGACCAACCCTGGCTGTTGGGGCCATTTGGAGAGTGAACCAGTGAATGGATGATCTCCCTCTCTCTCTCTCTCTCTCTGTAATGCTGCCTTTCAAATAAGTAATACGTAAGTAAGTAAGTGTTGCTGTGGATTGGTTCTGAGAGGAGGAGCATGGTGGGGACAAGAGACACAGAGTCACCACACAGACCCCAGGATACTCGTTTATTTCGGTTGGTACAGCAGCTTAAATAGCCAAGGCAGCCAATCTGATCAAAGGGCAGTTTATGCCCTAACCAATCACAGCCTGTTGCCAGGCAGTATCCAAAGCCATCCAATCATAGCCTGTTGCCAGGCAGGCTCCATTGCCAGGTGGGTTTCAAAGCCATTCCTGAGTAGCTGATGCTCACTTCCCAGTGGCCATCTTAGCATGGCCTTCTCATTCCACCACAAGTAAGTAAGTAAGCAAGTAAATATTTATTTATTTATTTATTTGAAAGAGTTACACAGAGAGAGAGAGGAGAGGCAGAGAGAGAGGTCTTCCATCCACTGGTTCACTCCCCAATTGCCGCAAAGGCCGGAGCTGGGCTGATCTGAAGCCAGGAATCAGGAGCTTCCTCCAGGCCTCCCATGCCAGTGCAGGGGCCCAAGGACTTGAGCCATCTTTTACTGCTTTCCCAGGCCATAGCAGAGAGCTGGATCAGAAGCAGAGCAGCCGAGCAGCCAGGACTCAAACCAGCGCTTATATAGGACGCCGGCACTGCAGGTGGTGGCTTTACCCACTACACCACAGCACCAGCCCCAATAAATAAATCTTAAAAACTATGGTAGTGTCAATTAGGAAAAGATAGACAACCCAACAGAAAAATAGGCAAGAGATTTTAAAATGTACTTCTAAATAGCCAAACTAAGCAGGAAGAGAGCTCAACCACATTTACATAAGGAAACTTCAGATTTAAACCACAATGAGATACCACCTGGAACCCATCTGAATAGCGAAGTTAAAAACACTGATGACACTAACTGTCAGTGAGGATGTGCTAGTTGTTCTGTGAGTGTGCTTCTTTTGTGATGACTCACTAAACTGTACTCTGGATTGATGATTTTTTTTCCTTAGCCTGTGCTAAGCACAGGCTTAGCTAAGCACAGGCCTGTGCTAAGGCACCTCTTCTTCTTCTTCTTTTTTTTAAAGAATTATTTATTTTAAAGGCATAATGATGGAGGAAGGGAGGGAGAGAGGGAGGGAGAGAAGGAGGGAGAGGGAGAGAGAGAGGGAGAGAGGGAGAGAGAGAGAGGGAGAGAGAGAGAGAGAGAGGGATGTTACATCCACTGTTTCACTCCCCAAATGAGTGCAAGAGCTAGTGCTGCACCAAGCCAAAGCCGGGAGCCTGGAAGCCCAGCCAGGCCTCCTACATGGGTGGCAGGAACTCAGGTACTTGAGCCATCGTGCACTGCTTCCCAGGCGCATGAACCGGGAGCTGGACCGAAAGTGGAGTGGCACGCACTCCGATGTGGTACACACCACATTAGAGTCACACACCAGCCCCTAAACACTGGATTTATATAATTTTGTTTTTGTGTCCTACTTCAATGAAAATAGCTTTTAAATAATGTAAAAGTGGGGAGAAGGACTAGAAAGCCAAGAACCAGGCAACAGCCCCCACCGAAAACTCATGCTTTTTGTTAAGTACACAGCCTTGCTTGGAACTTGCTTCTCATGCATCCTTTTGGGTTCGGTCATCTGGTTTTCACACTCACAGAGATTTAAAGGACACTGACATCTAGTTACATGGATCACCAGCAGCAATAACTGATAAGGAGAGTAAGAAGTGAGACAGAAAACCTAGAAAACACACACAAGCCCTCAAAGGCCACAGCCACCACGGCCGTGCTGCTCTCCCAGAAGGCTGCATTCACCAAGTTGTGAACATCTTTGTGTGTGTTGTGTCAGCAAGGAACCATCAGGAACATTTTCCTGCAACAGATGGAGTGATTCTGTTTAATCTGTGGCAGCCTGATGAGTGAAAACTATGTCATTGTTGTTTTAATTCTCATTTCCCTTACTTATCACATAGAACATCTTTCCATGTTTGTTGATCGTTTATATTTTTTCCTGCGGGTTATCTATTCATATTCTATGCCCATTTTCTACTAAATGCTTATATTTCATAATCCTTTGTCTATAATACATGTTGAAACTATCTTTCCTAATAGATTAAGTGCTCAATTTTAAACAGCATTTTTCATAATTTAAAAGTCTAAAATGCTGTACAATCAAATCTGTTCTTTTTTTCCTTATGATTTTTGAGCTCAAGATACTTGCCAAACTAAGATTATACAATTATCCTTTAAGACTGCATTTAAAATTCAATTTTCTGCTTATTCCTCTTTAATCCAACTCCAGTTTTTAGTGTAGTTTGTGGTAGAAAAAAAGATCACTTTGCTGTTCAGAAGTTATAATTAATGACAATTCTGAGCCATATTAAAATGGTAAAGTAGGAGAGGGCATTGGGCTCAGTGCTTAAGACACTGTGTGGGGCCGGCGCCGCGGCTCACTAGGCTAATCCTCCGCCTTGCGGCACCGGCACACCGGGTTCTAGTTCCAGTCAGGGCGCCAGATTCTGTCCCGGTTGCCCCTCTTCCAGGCCAGCTCTCTGCTGTGGCCCGGTAGTGCAGGCAGTGGAGGATGGCCCAAGTGCTTGGGCCCTGCACCCCATGGGAGACCAGGAAGAAGCACCTGGCTCCTGCCATCGGATCAGTGCGGTGCGCTGGCCGCGGCAGCCATTGGAGGGTGAACCAACAGCAAAGGAAGACCTTTCTCTCTGTCTCTCTCTCTCACTATCCACTCTGCCTGTCAAAAAAAAAAAAAAAAAAAAGACACTGTGTGGGATGTTTGAGTCCTGGCTCCTCCCTTCCACCCAGCTTCCTGCTAATGTGCTTGGGGGAGGCAGCAGTGATGGTTCAAGTACTTGGGTCCCTGCCACCCACATCCTGGTCCCTGGCTTCAGCCTAGCCCAGACCTGGCTGTGGTGGGTATCTGTGAAGTGGACCAGAAAATGGGAGATATCGCTCTGCTTTTCAAATAAAATTAAACAAAACATTTTAATGGCTAAATGGTATAAATATTCTGCCCAGTAAGAAACAGAGAAGAGAGAACCCATTTTTGAAAGAGAAGCTCCTACAAGCTGCAGAAGGCCTGGGATCCTCCGTGCGTTCGCCAGCCTCCTCTGTAGCAACACAGCACCCTGCCGGACAGGGACTCCTTGGGTCAGTGGGCAAGCCTCAAGACATCCCCCTATTAATTTAAGTTTGTTTCATTTATTTGACATGAAGAGTTACAGAGAGAGAGAGACAGAGAAAGACTTTTCATTCTCTGGTTCACCTCCTAATTTGCTGCAATGGCCAGGGCTGGGCCAAGCCCAAGTCAGGACCCAGGAATTCCATCCAGGTCTCCTATGTGGGTAGCAGAGGCACAAGGACTTGGGCCATCATCCGCTGCCTTCCCAGCTGCATTAGTGGGGAGCCAGACCAGAAACAGAGCAGCAGGACTCGCCCTGGCACTCGGATATGGGATGCCAGCGTTGCAGGTGGCAGCTTAACTCACTGTGCCATGGCCCTGGCCCCTGCCCTTGTTAATTCTAGCGATTATCAATCTGAAAAAAAAAAAGGAAGTGGTGCACTTAAGGAAAGATACGAAAGATTCACAGACAGTAGAAAGCCCCCCAACCTGTCACACAAATTACCGAATTCGAGTCAGCGTGTTCCGGAGTCCAACTACGTAGAACAGAATGTTGGCGTCGGTGTTGCTGTAGATGCTGTTGATGGCAGCCATGGCAGCACCCATCCTCCCAGCTGCCGCGCAGATCACCACAGGGATCTCCTCCTCCACTTCCTCAGGGGCCTCCAAGTCGTCGTCTGGAAGACAAATCGGGGGCTTAGAGCAGCAAGGATCCCACAGTGCAGTCTCCCACGCGCCTGCGGTTGGACAGCACAGTGTGGAAGGGATTGCTGATTTTTCTCCAATATCCAGTTTCTCCTTCTTTCCTTAGAAAAAAATGTTGGCCAGCCATCATTGTGGCGCAGTGGATTAAGTCGCCGCCCGCAACATTGGTGTCCCATGCAGGCACCAGTTCGACTCCCAGCTGCGCTGCTTCTGATCCAGCGTCCTGCTAATGAGGCTGGGAAAGCAGTTCAGGGGGCCCCCACACCCATGTGGGGGACTTGGATGGAGTTCCAGGCTCCTGGCATCAGTGCGGCCCAGCCCAGGCTGTTGTGGCCATTTGGGGAGTGAACCAGATTTAGGATCCATCTCTCTCTCTCTCTCTCTCTCTCTCTCTCTCTCTCTCCCTTTCCCTCTCCCTCTCTTTCCTCTGTCACTCTGCCTTTCAAATAAATAGAAGCAAAGCAAAGCATGATGGGGCTTTTGCTGCATATAAACCACTCACTAAGACTATTTTCCCAGACTCCCTTGCAGCTCCATGAGATCAAGTTCAGACCCATGGGATGTTACTTCAAGTAATGTGTACAGTGACTGGATCTGCCTGACCAAGGAATCTGCTTACCCATGTTCCCCTTCCCCCTCCCCATCAGCTGGAATGTCGATACGGCAGCCAGAATTACAACAGTCATCTTAAACCCCAAGAGGGAAGCCATCTGTTGAGGACACCAAAACCTTAAGACAAAACGGATCTTGATGGGGATGATAGTGGGGCTGACACCCCTCCGTCACTGCACAGAGCAAACAAACTTCTATTTTGCTTACATGGCTGTTGATCTAGAGCTCTTTTACAAGGGCCAGTCAGAGAGACACAGACACACAGAGCTGGAAAACGAAGAGCTCATTGGCTTGACCGTCCTCCACACCACCCTGGGCCAGAACCTCCACCTTCTCCATGCAGCTACAGAACACACTGCTGCTCCTGTGCCTCCCCTCCCCAGGCAGGTGAGATTAAGGAGGAAAATGAAAGCACATGACCAACACCCAAGGTGAATAATGGACTGTTCTTTTGAGCATGGGGAAGAGGCCAAATGCTAACGCCATAGCATCATGCTGTGGTATTAGACTTTCAGGGATGAAGAATAACCCTGTCTGGTGTGCAGGGAGTCCACTGTCAAATGCCCACCTGATTTTCCTGAAAGCCCTCTCTCTGTAGATAGCTTCCAGCAGAAACTCTTCCATTCAGGCCCAGGGTGGTCTAGCCGATATTTCATTCAACAAGCCGTGGTTGACACAAAACACCAGTACTGTGCTTTGTGTAATTTAAGAAACACTAAACCAGCCCCCTTTTCTCCTCCCATGTCTTTCCCACCAGTTCAAGAAGGCATCTGAAATTTCTATGACTAGAATATTCTGGATTTTCAGGATTATTTACTGACATGAGAGAGTGCTCATAATATGTGAGTACTGATAAGAGGAGGAAATATAGCCTGCACTGTGCTGCAGCGGGTTAACACCCTGGCCTGAAGCACCGGCATCCCATATGTGCGCTGGTTCTAGTCCCAGCTGCTCCACTTCCAATCCAGCTCTCTGCTATGGCCTGGGAAAGCAGTAGAAGATGGCCCAAGTCCTTGGACCCCTGTACCCACACGGGAGACCCGGAAGAAGCTCCTGGCTCATGGCTTCAGATCAGCACAGCTCCGGCTTTTCGGCCATTTGGGGAGTGAACCAGCAGAAGGAAGACCTCTCTCTCTCTCTATCTGCTTCTCCTGTGTAACTCTGACTTTCAAATAAATAAATCTTTTTTTTTAAAAAAGAGGAGGAAATACAAAATGCTCTCTAGTAGTTGATCCCAATGCGATACATGCATTTTTTCAATGTATCTACATTTATTTATGGAATTGTGAGCAATTTTAATTCTTATATTTTCCAAATTATCTAATCATAAGCTATTTTTTAAAGATTTATTTATTTATTTGAAATGCAGAGATGCAGAGAGAGAAGGAAAGAGAGAGAGAGAGAGATCTTCCATCCACTGGTTTACTCCCCAAATAGCCACATCAGCTGGGGCTAGGTCAGGCCAAAACCAGGAGCCCGGAGCCTCTTGGGTGCAGCGGCCCAAGCACTTGGGTCATCCTCAGCTGCCTTCCCAGGCCATTATCAGGGAGCTGGATGGTAAGTGGAGCATCCGGGACCAAACCTGCACGCCACAGAGCCAAGTTATCTTGTAAATAAGCAGCTCCTCAGGGATTGCTCTTTTTGGCCTCAGCTGGGATCCTGGAAGGCCCCCAGTCCTGTGGCATTTTACCTGGGGGCAGTCAAGTGATCTGCCTGAAATGCAGATTTGTGCTTCTTTACTGCCTATGCAGTTCCTTAAAGGTAAAGCCGCACTTCCCACGGTCCCTCCGGAGCCATTGCCTGCTCACTTCCCCAGCTTTGCTGGCTTCTACTACAGTAACACCACACTACTCGGGGCTCTCTGAGTAACACCCCACGCTGTCTGTCACCTCTGTGTCTCTGCACACACTCTTCCTGATGCCTGGAATGCTCTTTGAATCCTTTTCTGCATGGCTAACTCTTTCCTATTCATTCCAATTGCAGTACAGGTGCCTCTAACAGCTCCATACACAAACCAGCGTATCCCTTCATCATCACCTTGTGGTTGGACATAGCAGCTGCATTGCCATTTATTTGGATGCCTGTCTTTCCTTTCTCTCCTGTTCTGAGAGTTGCACTGTGAGGACAGGGATGGTATCTCGTTCATCTGTACCCTTTGCATCTATCCTAGTGTGTGTGGCACACAGTCAACTCTAGTTACGTGTGGATGGAAGAATGGATGGAGGGATGGGTTTATTAGACACTATTATTTGAGCACTTACCACACTGAACTGTGAGAATTTATTTATGTGTCTGTCTACCCCACTGGACCATAAACTCATCTTATTATACCATAGAGTTTGGCATCTTGGAAATACATAATAAAAGTTTGCTGAAAGGAGCTAAATTGGACCGATGGCTTGGCCCTAAAGAACTGGATCATGGAAGACTGATTCGTGGGCTATGCCTAAGAGCAAAGAGACAAGAAAGGGTTGAGAAGCTGGGGCAAAGCCTGACTGCTAAGCTAGGGGAAGGCTTTCAGCAGGCAGCATGAGGTAGGAAGGTATCCTCCTGAAAGAGGGGTGCCCCAAGGAAGGTCAGACATTGAGTGCACAGCTCTGTGGCAGACACCCCGCCCTGCCTCCACCAGTCAGAGAAGCTGGGCGCATCCTCAGCCAAAACACAGCTCTCGCCCAAGCAGTCTCTCCTGGACAGGATGGAGAATGAAGGGCACTGGGGAAATGCAAGGGAAGGCTTGCAACTGTAGATTCTTCCCCAATGCCCTGTTCTCGCAGCTTCTTCAGGCATCATCTGTTGTACTATCTGTATCCATGGTACTCACTGGTACCTGGGCCAACCTGTTCAAAGATTTGGCTATGGAAAACCATCTGGTGCCTAACAACACTAGAGAACATAACAATGATGACAGATTGGACTGGAAGGGGCACTGCCTTAATTTACTCCCACAAGCCAAGCCTAATCCTAGAAGAGGTGAAATGTCTGCTCTTTCAAGGCCAAAACTCAGAAGGCCATTTCAAAAAGGACTGTTTTAGCCAAAGGCAGTAACTAACCCTGCCCCTAATAGGACAGAAGTGAGTCACCAGATGCTCATTGTACGGAAATGATCAAAAGACTACAGGGCAGGCCAGCACTGTGATGCAGTGGGTTAATTCTCTGCCTGTGGTGCTGGCATCCCATATGGGCACCGGTTCTAGTCCCAGCTGCTCCTCTTCTGATCCAGCACTGTGCTATGGCCTGGGAAAGCAGTAGAAGATGGCTCATGTCCTTGGGCCGCTGCACCCACATGGGAGACCTGGAGGAAGATCCTGGCTCCTGGCTTCAGATCAGCACAGCTCTGGCCAATGAGGCCATTTAGGGAGTGAATCAGTGGATGAAAGACCTTTCTCTCTGTCTCTCCCTCTCCCTGTCTGTAAATCTACCTCTCAAATAAATAAATAAAATCTTAAAAAAAAAAAAAAAAAAGAAGAAGAAGAAGACTACAGGGACCGTCATTGTCGGGAGGTCACACAGAATGGCTCCAGGCTTTTGTTCATGATACAACTTCACCAGGCTTCTGAACGTTAACTTATCACGCTAGTTCCTTGAATTAATGTTTTTAACATTATAAAAATTAATCCGTACTTCATGAAAAAATTCCAGCCCAAACAGAAGAGTATCTGACAAATCGTGACTATGTTTTTTTTAAATCTTTCCACTCTCGGGCCGGCACCGCGGCTCACTAGGCTAATCCTCCACCTAGCGGCGCCGGCACACCGGGTTCTAGTCCCGGTAGGGCGCCAGATTCTGTCCCGGTTGCCCCTCTTCCAGGCCAGCTCTCTGCTGTGGCCAGGGAGTGCAGTGGAGGAAGGCCCAAGTCCCCATGGGAGACCAGGATAAGCACCTGGCTCCTGGCTCCTGCCATCGGATCAGCGCGGTGCGCCGGCCGCAGCACGCCAGCCGCGGCAGCCATTGGAGGGTGAACCAATGGCAAAGGAAGACCTTTCTCTCTGTCTCTCTCTCTCTCACTGTCCACTCTGCCTGTCAAAAAAAAAAAAAATCTTTCCACTCTCATTCTAAAGGCAGACCTGTGTCAGCGGCACAGTGTATGTCCCCAAACCCTTCTTCAGGCAAACACATAAGTAAGGGGCATATATATCATACAGCTATATTTTTTAAAGCCAAATTGAAATCATACTTTGTCATACTTCTCTGCCATTTGCTTTTCCCACTGAACCTACTATGAACCTGGTGCCTGGTCAACACTACACACTTCTGAATGGAATTTTGTTTACGCTGATTCATTTTTACTTTAACACTGAACAGATTAAACAAGACACTGGATCCCATCTGTGTGGTCCACACGCTTTATTTATCTGTAGATGGCTGATGGTGATGGATCGGTCAGGATGTGCACTTCCGTGCGGCTGTTTTCACAGCTGCTCCAAGACCTTCCTTGGAGAACGGAGTCTACGGTTAGATCCACCAACCCAACGTGTTAGTTTCTGGGTAGGCAGTGAAGCGTGAGGAGTAAAAGCCAGACCAGGAGGCGACATGCGCCCTCATATGGCTTCCTTTGTTCTCAGCTTTAAGACAGTTTATTGAGATACAATTTAGATGCTCTTGTGGGCTGAACTGTGTTGCCTTTCAGGTTCATATGCTAAAGTCCTAACCCCAGTAGCTCAGGATGTGACTGTATTGGGAGACAGGGCCTTTCAAGAGGCCATTTAAAGTGAGATCATTAGGGTGGGGCTTGAACCCAATAGGAGTGGCATCCTACCAAGAGGGAGCGACGCCAGGGCTGTGAGCATGGAGACAAGGCCACGTGAGGACACAGTGGGAAGGAGGCATCTGCAAGCTGAACAGAGAGGTCCCCGGAGAAACCAACCTGCGGGTACCGCAGTCTTGGCCTTCCAGCCTCCAGAACCGCGAGAGAATACATCTCTATAGTTAGAGCCACAGGGTCTGTGGCATTTTGTTACGGCAATCCCAACAAACCAATGCAGGTTTCTTAAAACTCATCTATTGTAAGTGCTGATCCGATGGCAGGAGCCAGGTACTTATCATGGTCTCCCATGGGGTGCAGGGCCCAAGCATTTGGGCCATCCTCCACTGCACTCCCTGGCCACAGCAGAGAGCTGGCCTGGAAGAGGGGCAACCGGGACAGAATCCGGTGCCCCGACTGGGACTAGAACCTGGTGTGCCGGTGCTGCAAGGCGGAGGATTAGCCTAGTGAGCCACGGCGCCGGCCGACTTTAGAACATTTTCATCACCAACCACTGATCTTCTTTCTCCTCCATAGATTTCTCTTTTCTCCAGATTTTTGTATTAGAATCATATAACATAGTGTTTGGATCTGGCTTCTTTCATTTAGTATGTTTTTGAGGTTCACCCATATTGTAGCTGTGTCAGTGGTCTGTTCCTTTAAGTTGTTGGAAAGCACATCACTGGGTGTCAAACATGTGTGTTAGATGTACATGTTTAAACATACCACATGTGTGGACATACTACATTGCCTTTATCCACCCCGGTTGAGGTATGTTGGACTGTTTCCAGCTTGGGCCTATCGTGAATAATGTTCTAGGAATTTTCACATACAGTAAGTCTTTGTGTGAAAATCATTCTCTTCCCAGGTGCTCCTGATAGTCATTTAGACCATTTATAGATGTTTTCAGTTATTTTCAAATGATTTTCTTTTTTTATGACAGGCAGAGTGGACAGTGAGAGAGAGAGACACATAGAGAAAGGTCTTCCTTTTCCGTTGGTTCACCCACCAATGGCCGCTGCAGTCGGCGCACCGCGCTGATCCAAAGCCAGGAGCCAGGTGTTTCTCCTGATCTCCCATGCGGGTGCAGGGTCCAAGGACTTGGGCCATCCTCTGCTGCACTCCCAGGCCACAGCAGAGAGCTGGACTAGAAGAGGAGTAACTGGGACAGAATCCGGCTAGAACCCGGGACTAGAACCCGGGGTGCCGGCGCCGCAGGTGGAGGATTAGTCTAGTGAGCCACGGCGCTGGCCAAATGATTTTCCGTAATAACCAAAGGTAATGTCAACTTTGTGAGAATAGGGACGGTCTTTCATTCACTGTTGTGTCTCTAGTCTCTAAGGTCCGGGTTTTTTAAAGTATCTTAGAGGCAGAGAAAGAGAGAGAGACAGAGACCGAGACACACAGAGAGATCTTGCATCCATTAGTTCATTCCCCACATGTCCACAACAGCTAGGGCTGGGTCAGCTAAAGCCAGAAGTCCATCCTGGTCTCCCATGCAGTTATGACCCAAGGGCTTGGGTCATCATCTGCTGCCTCCCAGGCAGATTACCAGGGAGGTGGACTGGGAGAGCCAGGATTTGAACTGGCACTCCAATATCGGATGCGGGCATCCTAGAGACTTAACCAGCTGCACCGCAATGCCTGCCCCTAAGCTCTGGCTTTCTTAAAAAAGTGTGGAATCAGTGTATGTAATACACCATATTTTTAACTGTGTTTTGTCTTTGGCTGATGCAGCTACAGGGAATATTTTCTTTTCTGTATTTTCCATAAGTGAGTGTACTAGCTTGACTAGATAAGAAGTAGATGAGTTGAAGACAAAATAAACACACTAATGGCACTTCCTGATTTTTGTAGGGGTTGACTTTGTGTGCGTGCCAAGGTTGCAAAGGTGCCATCTCATGCAGTTTACCCCCGAGGAGGGCTCTGAGGGCAGCTGGAAGAGGACGTGGGGTCAATGAAGATCATTTTTAAGCTGAGAAGTGAGAGTGCCTGGGCCCTGATGGGAATGAGCCAGCAGGAAGAGGAGGAAGAGGGAGTTCTCATAAGCAAAAGGACGGGAGGCTTCAAGGAGATGGGATGCAGAGCAGTCCCTCAAAGTGTGGGCCAAGAGCCCACAGCACCCATCAGCACCCACAGGGAGCATATCAGAAATGCACATTCCAAACCTCTCAGGTGCAGCTCAGGACTGCAAGCCCACCATGTGCATGTCAAAAGTTTGAAGAGCACTGGTCATTGCAGAGCTCATGAGAACGGTTAGGCTTGGGTGGACATTGTACAAGGAGCTCCTTGCGAGCTGACCAACTGGTCACTTGTCTCTAAAGCCAGCCGCTGACATCAGCCAAGGAACACATTCGAACCACGGACCCAGGCGTCCCGTCCAGCGGATGCCACGCCTGCTTACCTGCTCCATTCCTGAGCACAGTCCCCTTGTGAACTTTCTTGTACAGAATCCCACAGAGCGTCACAATCAGAAGGAACAGCAGCACCTGATTAACTGAATAAACAGGGAAGCACATTAAAGTTTAGCCTACTGACTTGAATGCATGTGGGACAGTGTAGCTTAGTGTGAGCAGCTGTCTTTCATAGCATTCAGGGGAACACGTGGCCACCTGACACTTCTTTGAGCAGAGAGGGCGTGTGGGAAAGTGCTCACCCGGGACACTGTTGCTGTTCAAGGATACACTGTAGCAATGTAAGTAAATTCAGCACCAAACCAAGGCAATCTGATGGCAGACGCTGCAATGTGCAGAATGATACCAGGCTGCCTTTGGGGCCACGTTCTGTGCATGCATATTTTGTTTCAAATAACAGCCCACATTTATGTAACGCTCCTTCCCAGCCTGTACTAAATATGAGCACATGTTCCCAGCTATTATAACACAGTGGCTTCTCAGCTAATTGGACTGTCAGCCAAGGGTGACTTGCCCTGGATAAAAGCTTAGACGATTCCAGTACATCTTCCAGTTCTAAGTCTCCAGGACCATCATTGGCAGATCAGTGATGCCTGCCCATGGAGTCTACTGAGATGTACTGCAGTGCAGAAGACAGTTTTCCTGAGTTTGGAACACGTACCGTGGGTTGTGCATGAGCTGACTAGGGGAGGTCACGTGTACAGCATCAAGCAACATTAAATCACAGTGTGGGAAAGAAGTCTTCATGATTTCACGTGCGGGCGGGCAACGAAAGCTACCAAGAATGGAGCAACATTTTTATAATTGTATATATTTTATAACTACTTTTCTTTTCCTAATAGATCATGCTTTTTCCATTTATAATAAGGATTAAAATGTTCTATTAAGTGGTTTAGTTGTACATTTTTTAAAAATGAATCAGTCTAAAGAAAATAGTAAGGAATACATATTTTGAATGAAAAGTAAATTCTATTTGCAAGTTTTAAAGAGATAGACATATGTTTCCTCTCACGGTAAGTCCATTTCACTTTTTTAGAGGTTTATGTATTTGAAAGGTAGAGTGAGAGAGAGACAGAGACAAAGAGAATATCTTCCATCTGCTAGTTCAGTCCCCCAGATGGCTGCAATAGCTACATCTGGGCCAGGTCAAAGCCAGAAGCCTGGAATGCCACCCAGGTTTGCCACATGGATGACAGGGACCTGAGCACTTGGGCCATCTTCCACTGCCTTCCCAGGAACATTAGCAGGAAGCTGGATCAGAAGTGGCACAGCCAGGACTCAAATTGGCACTCCAATATGGGATACAAGTGGTGGCTTAGCTCACTGTGTCACAACACCAGAGTCCACCTCTGACCAAAATATTTAACAACTTTCCGTGGGAATCATCCTGAAGTGATGATGCCAAAAACTGCCTGTAAGAAAACTACCCATAAAAACAAAATCTTTAAAAAGCCGCAACACGGAGCCAGCTCTGTGGCGCGGCAGGTCAAGCCTCCACCTGCAGTGCCAGCATCCCATCTGGGCACTAGTTCATGTCCCAGCTGCTCCACTTCCGATCCAGCTCCCTGATAATGTGCCTTGGAAAGTACTGAAATGATGGCCCAAGTGCTTGGGCCCCTTCATCCATAAGGGAGACCCAGAATATGCTCCTGGCTCCTGGCTCCTGGCTTCCATCTTGCCAGCCCTAGCTGTTGCGGCCATTTGGGGAATGAACTAGCAGATGGAAGATCTCCCTCTCTTTCTTTCCTTCTATCTCTGCCTTTCAAATCAATCAATCAATCTTTTTTAAAAAGCACCAACATCAAAACAGTCTATCAAAATATCTTTTATTAAAATCATGATTTTCAAAACTGTAATCTTACTTTTTCGTAACAGAGCCATAAGTGTTCACGCAGATAAGAATCGTGACCTGTGGATTAAAGAATAAAATTCTGTTTAAAAAAGAATCAATTCAAAAGTCACCAACAGGTGGTCAGGACTAAATCTCCTTCAAAAGCCTGATGTGTTGGGAAATGTGTGGTCATCTTGTCCCGCTGTGCATCTAGAATATTCTGGAAGAGAAATCTTTCTTGGACGTACAGCCACCTCTTCAAAAGTGATTCTTCAAGGTGAACACACCTACAAAGGGCCTGCAAGAGCTCATTTTTTGTTGTCAGGGTTTTTGTTTCTTCGTCTTACCTTCTCCAAAAACAGCTCTGTGTGCCTTCTGGGTCTGCAGAGCTGAGGGGGCTAAATGGAACAAACAGCCCCTGAGAGTGTCTCCTTCATCCCAAAGATCAACCCCATGCCTGTCTTTCTGCCCTCACAGCTTCATCCCTTTGGTACGGGGGGTTTCACGCCTTCTGGAATCCCTTGTGGAAACAGAACCACCCTTGACGGGAGCACACTTCGCATCCAATTCATCTGTTCATCATTCACTCATTCATTATTTTGTTGAGATCCTACTAAAAACCCAGCACTGTGCTACATGCTGGAGATGGCCAATAAAACAAAACAAGCCCAGGCCGGCGCCGTGGCTCACTAGGCTAATCCTCTGCCTAGCGGCGCCGGCACACCAGGTTCTAGTCCCGGTCGGGGCGCTGGATTCTGTCCCGGTTGCCCCTCTTCCAGGCCAGCCCTCTGCTGTGGCCAGGGAGTGCAGTGGAGGATGGCCCAGGTGCTTGGGCCCTGCACCCCATGGGAGACCAGGATAAGCACCTGGCTCCTGGCTCCTGCCATCGGATCAGCGCGGTGCGCCGGCCGCAGCGCGCTGGCCGCGGCGGCCATTGGAGGGTAACCAACAGCAAAGGAAGACCTTTCTCTCTGTCTCTCTCTCTCACTGTCCACTCTGCCTGTCAAAAAATAAAAAAAAAAAAATTTAAATAAAATAAACAAGCCTGATCCCCATCCTCATGGAGGCAGGAGGGTAAGTGCTATGTAGGAAACAACTCAGGCGTTAGAATAAAGATTAACCATGGGGGAGGAGGAGTGCATCAGGCGGAGAAATGGGAAAAGCCTTTCCAAAGAGGAGATGGCATTTGATGGGCAGGAGGAACAGGAGCCAGTTAAACAGAGAGCAGGCAGAGGAGCGTTCCGGGCAGAGAGCTGCTGGTGCAAAGGCCCTGTGGCTGGAAAAGAGCTCTGGGTATTTGAGGGTCCACGTGCCTAGGACAGAATGGACAAAGGGAAAGCCTGGAAAGGGCTAGAGATACAAAGAGACCAGACACCATGGTGCCTGGAGAGGAGCTGGATTTTATTTTAATTGCGTTCAAATTTCCATCCGTCTTGGACCTCAAGAAGCCCTAAGGCAATGTTTCCAAACATTCCCAAGGAAATTCTGATGGTAAAGGAGAGAGATTACTCAGCGTCACCCACAATAAGTACAAAATATCTTCCAAGTTTCTTGTTTCAAGTTTTATGTCAACTGTGCAGAATTACTCTTCATGGCTAGAGTTCTCCTGGGGAAGAAAATTGCTTTTGTTATGACAGCAAGGCCCTGTGTGCATAGGTAGGAAAGCGGGGGTGAGAGCAGGGGAAAGCTAAACAGGTCTGAATAAAAGATAAACAGGAATCCTGTGGTCTAACTACAGCCCAGGAAGAAATGCTATATGAGAAGAAAGATTCCATGGCTGGAGCTGTCACTCACCCACAAAATGGGCAAGTCCCCATGGCAGATAGGTCCCAGGTACTTTTCAATAACTGAGATGTCCAGTGCTCAATCCACAGTCCTCTGCTACTCTCTGTACCTTTGACCCCTATCCCAGCTGCACACTGCTCTTCTGCCTGCATCTGAAGACGCAGAGTCAATGTGTTTGGGGGAATTCAATGGTGGGGGGGAAGCCATGTTTCTCATTTAGGAAGTGCAGGACTCTGGGGAGATGCAATTGAGATAGAAAGTTCCCAGGGAACTGAAAGTAAGAAAAATTGTGGTGATAGAGCAATATACAGTCAGCCCTTCATATCCACAGGTTTCATCTGCAGACTGAAAATATTTGGAAAAAGAAGTTGCACTGTATTGCACATGTGCAGACTTTTTCCTTGCCATGCTTCACTAGACAAGACAGTATAATGACTATTCCCATAGCCTTCACATTGTAGAAGGTATGAGTAGTAATCCAGAGGTGATCCAAGTATACAAGAGGATGTGCATTGCTTTTATGCAAAGATTGTGCCATTTTACATACGGGACTTATATAATATGGCCCTTGGCACCAGCCAATCAAAACAGGTACCAGCTACTGACGGCTTGAGCAGACCCACTTTCATGTTCTAACAAACTGCAACTCTGGCATCTACACGATGTCAATTCACATGAATACAGCACATATTCAAATAAATAGTTAAGTACAGGAGATGCTGTGCACACACACACACACACACACGAGATGCATTACATTCTAACAAGAAATGAGAACCATCACTGTCACATCATCAATCATTCTCCTATTCTATCAGGCCAAGTTTTTTACATGGAGTTCTTGGTTTCACATGAGACAAATTCAGGGTGAATTCCAAGAGGCCAATAACTAGATTTATTCCAGCAACAACTTGTTTTAACAAAAGAAGCCAACTGCTTCTTCAGAGAACAGGGAACCAGCACCATGAGAGCTATTTTTCTGCCAAGGTATTTGATACATGCTGACAATGTAGTTTCTTTGTGGTCTGCTAGATCCCATCAATTTCCTACTCTGAATTTCCATAACCAGAAACAGCACTACACCCTGGGAAATGCAAATGTGCTGTGTGAGAAACACAGACAAGCATCCCTGCTTTTTTTAAGGATTTATTTATTTATTTATTTGAAAGGCAGAGAATCAGAGAGGAAGGGAGGAAGGGAGGGAGGGAGGGAGGGGGAGAGAGAGAGAGAGAGAGAGTCTCACATCTGCTGATTCACTCCTCAAATGACCCCAATGCCTGGGGTTGGGCCAGGCTAAAGCCAGGAGCCAGGAGCTTCTTCAGGATCTCCCACTTGGGTCTCCCTCTTGGGTGCAAGGGCCCAAGCACTTGAGCCATCTTCCACTGCTTTCCCAGGCACATTAGCAGGAAGCTGGATGGCAAGTGGAGCAGCTAGGACTTGAACCAGAGCCCATAAGGGATGCTGGCACTGCAGGTGAAGGCTTAACCTGCAGTGCCACGCACCGGGCCCCCTGTTTTTGTGTTTTAAACACACTTCCTGTGGCACATTTACTCGAGGCATATCAATCCCACTTCAAAATTCGACTTGATGAGGGCTGGCATTGTGGTGCAGGAAAACTGCCACTTGTAATACTGGCATCCCCTATGAGAGAACCAGTTTGAGTCCCAGCCATCCACTTCCAAGCCAGCTCCCTGCTAATATGCCCGGGAAAAGCAGCATGCCTGGGCCCCTGCCACCGACCTGCAAGACCCCAGATGGAGTTCCCGGATCCCAGCTTCATCCTGCACCAGCTCTGGCCTTTGCGGCCCTTTGGGGAGCTAACCAGGGGATGGAAACACTCTCTCTCTCATTCTCACCCTACCTCCCCACCACTCTGCCTGTGAAATGAATTTTTACAAATTTTAAATGTTTTTACTTGATGATTTTGAAGTCTTTAAAATCTATATCCATTAAATTCATTTTTTGGTTGTATAGTTGCATGAATTTTAACACATGCATGCCTTCTAACAACCCCACAAGCAAGGAGAGAACCATTGCAAGCCTCCTAGGGAGCTTTCTTCTGTTGGCAGTCTCCCTAACACCTGATTTCTTGGCAACCACTGACGCGTTCCCTGTCACCATAGTTTTGCCTTTTCCAGAATGTTAAATAAATGGAATCATACAGAGTGTGATATTTTGAGACTCTCTTTTGTCACTTCGCCTTATACCTTTGGTGTTCATACTTGCTGTTGCGTGTTTGTATCTTTTTATTGTTGAATAATATTCCACTCTACAGATATGCCACCGTTTATTTATCCATTTACCCATTGAGGGATATTTAGATTGCTTCTGGTGTTTCCTAATTATGAATAATAATTCCGTAACATTTATTTGCTTTTGTGCAAATGTAAACACCCAGAAATGACACTGCTGAGTCATTTGTTAGCTATATGTCCCACTTTCTAAGAAACTGCCAGGGGCCAGTGCTGTGGCATAGCGGGTAAAGCTGCTGCCTGTGGCACCAGCATCCCTTAGCACTGGTTTGAGTCCTGGTGGCTCCACTTCCAATACAGTTCCCTTCAGGATTTAACCCAAGCCGTCTAACATGAGACAGAGGTGTCCCAGCAGTGTGTTAACTTCTGTGCCATAATGCCTACACCCCCCACACCCCCGCACCAAATGCACACACCAGGACCATTTGTTGAAAACACTGTCCTTTTTATAAGATTGAATTTTTTAAAAATATTTCATTCCAATTTTAAAGTTTCCAAAAAGGATGTGATGACTGTCAAGGGGGTTGGATCTGGAGGATGAAATGTGCGCAAGAAGGGAGGGAGAGATCAGCAGAGTTTCGATTTCTTTCCTGCCCTCCCTACAAGAAGGTTTATAGACCCAGAGAATCCTCAGGACTACAGCATCACATATTCCAGAATGCTCTCAGAGTAGATTCAAGACCCAGGAAGTGGCTGGCGCCGCAGCTCACTAGGCTAATCCTCCGCCTGCGGCACCGGCACCCTGGGTTCTAGTCCCGGTTGGGGCACCAGATTCTGTCCCGGTTGCCCCTCTTCCAGGCCAGCTCTCTGCTGTGGCCAGGGAGTGCAGTGGAGGATGGCCCAGGTGCTTGGGTCCTGCACCCACATGGGAGACCAGGAGGAAGCACCTGGCTCTTGGCTTCGGATTGGCGCAGCGCGCCAGCTGTGGCGGCCACTTGGGGGGGGTGAACCAATGGAAAAGGAAGCCCTTTCTCTCTCTCTCTCTCTCTCTCTCTCTCTCTCACTGTCTAACTGTTGCGGTGTCCGAAAGAAAAAAAAAAA